TGTCTATGGAAGTTCCAAAAAATGAAAGATGGCTACCCACATTGCTTATAAGTTAAAATAAACCAAAATACGGATGTCTAGAAGTTGCCTTACATATAAGTTCAAACAAACCAAAATAAGCAGTAGTACAAATCTGGTAATGGATCAAATAGGCACAAATTCCCTGTTGAAATCCTTATTACATTTTGGGAAAAGAGTTAGCAAAAAAAGATCGAGGGTTTTTTTAAAAAAAAAAAATACACGGAAATGAAGAAAACCTACTCATGGATAAGTTTGGGGGTAGCAACTTCCCTAAAGTCCCTATATAACAATTTCCAACACCCTTGAAGGGGGCATCAAAAAAGTGAGTCTCTCAATCTTCCACCGTTGCATGAGTAGCCAGCCAGTCTGCCACAACATTTCCCTCTCTATGAGTGTGACTGATTCTACTTATTCAGTCTCTGTTAATCAGGTCTTGAATTCTTTGAATGATGCCAGCAAAACCCTTATGCATGTTCTGAGAGTTGTTGATGAAGTCAATAGCCATAGTGGAATCTCCTTCAAGCCGCACTCTCTTGTACCCCTTGTGCCATGCTAACTCCAGATCATGTAGCATTCCCCTTAGCTCAACATTTAATGCATTGCCAAGACCCGAAAATCTAGTGAAACCGCCCAGCCAACGACCATTACTACCTCTAATCATTCCCCCACAAGAAGACTTTTTGCCTTGATCAAAGGATGAGCCATCGGTGTTGACTTTCACCCAACCTTCAGACGAAAATGACCATTTTATGAAGGTCTCTATCTTTGGATTCCTTATCAGTCCAACAGTGATAAACCCCTGGTTCATCAGGTTTTTCAGCATGAATTAGTATCAATTTGTGTGATTAATTGGATGGAAAAGAGGTTAATGTCCTGAAAATCCCTCAAGTACAAGTTCTGAAAGCTCTGTTGAAAATTTACACTGTCTTGTAGGGAAATGAAGCTCAAGAAGCAGCAGAAAGAAGGAAGAAGATTTTGGAGAAAGAGAGAATGCCTAAGTGCCAAGCGCTAAAACGCCCTCACAGACCGTTTTAGCGCGCTGCTGCAAATTGAAGGAAAAACTTGCTGGTGCTGAGCGCTAAAACGTCCAACACAGAACGTTTTAGCGCGCTGCTGCAATCCGAGGACAAGAAGTTGCTGGTCTTGGGCGCTAAAACTTCCTGATCAAACGTTTTAGCGCCCTGCTGTTGGAAAAAGACTCTGGTCTCCAACGCTAAAACGTCCAAGACAAGCGTTTTAGCGTTGGAGTTGGTTGAAAGCAGTTGAGCAGTCACCAGATATGGACGCTAAAACGTTCAACAGTATACGTTTTAGCGCTCAAGTTAGTTGAAAGCAGTTGGACATCCGTCAAACATGGACGCTAAAACGCCCATCTAGAACGTTTTAGCGCCCATGTTATTTTTTCAGTTGTAAATTGTAACACTATATAAGGCAAGGGCCTTCACAATTGTCATAGTTCTGATTTCCTATCTCTCTCTCCTATATCAGATCCTCTGATCTGACTTCTCTCTAAAAAAATTCCAAAATTCATTAGGACTTAGTTCTTGTATTAGTTAGTTTCTTATGTAATTGTACTTGGAGATTGAAGACTCACTACATGGCAATGGAGTTTGATCTTTCGTCTCTTGTTATTCTTTGTATTATGTCTGAGTAGAGTCCCTTGTAGTCTGATTCAATGGAACTCAAGTTTGAATTTATTCTTTGTATTATGTGATTGTATGAAGTTGTCTTGATTAATTCTTCATGTTGATAAATAGTGTAGAACAGACATGTTTACATTGTTTCTCTATTTTTGACAACTTCATCATTAGTGTTCTAGTAGTCAAGACATTGATGCTAGGATTCTGATGTGGTCTTAAGACCTTAGTGATTAATGCATGTATTAAGAAAGGGATCACCAAGACATTGGGGTTTCTGATTAATGTGTCTATCAGGGTAGTAAGACATTACATCTTGAGATGATAAGAAAAAGGTTGATCAACATCACATAGTAGATACTCATCATGGAAATTGATTCATCCATAAATTCATTCTTGAGAGAAATTGATATCTGACTACTTGCTTTAAATTATATTCACACTTTATCTGTTTATCAATTCTTTAATTTTATTCAAACTAAATTTCTGGTGACAAGAAATAAATGCAATTTATAATCTTTTGGTTGATTCAACTGAACAACATTTGGTTAGTCAGTGCTTGACACAATTCCTCGTGGGAACGATCTTTACTCATCATTTTATTACTTGTTTGACTAGTGCACTTGCTAAATTTGACAACAAGCAGCTCCAAGGGTGGCCCTCGACTAGAAGAAGCAGTCAGTGAAGATAGACGCTTGATGAATGAGCTATTGGTCCGATATGCTTTTCCCATTAAAAATAAGGTTGTTTCTTTCCTTCCAAATGAGCCAGTAGATTACTCCAAAGAGAGTTTGGATTTATCCATTCCCGTGAGGGCCAAGTATTCTAGTCCAAACCACGCCCAATTGATCTTTCAACCAGACCTCAGCCAAGAACGCTGAAGCGGCCGAAATGCCAGCAAGGTTGCAAGCAACCCGACACCTAGGACCACAGCCTGACACTGAGCTTAGACCCTGCCACATGACTGAGGAGCCATTCCTTGAAGAAAGGCATGTAGGGAAACCCCAAGCAGAAGTTAACTAAATGGAATCTCCATAAAGTGGACCTAGATGCAATCGAAGGTCTAGAATGAGCATTACAACCCGACAGCCCGAACCCTCAAACTGCCGAACCGGAGGCAACTGTTATCGCCCCACCTTATGGGCCCATATCGTAATAGCTCGTGACAAATAGTCATCTAAGAGAGAAATAAGGAAGCAATCCTATCAAATAAGATATTAATCTTATATCACTAACGGATTGAATATTAGGCCCCCAATAATTCCAAGAGGTCTAGAATTCAACTTCAACCAGGTAACCCATCTATAAATAAGGGGTTAAGCCAACCAAGTACATTCTCTGAACTCCATACTCTCTTAGTTGTTGTGTCCACATGTCACGCCTTTCGCTATACATCATTATTATTGTCCACAATTATATACTATCCCTTGCGCGTCTCTTCACTCATGAATATTGATTCATGATATAATTACCAACCACGAACATCCTAAACCTCTCCGATTGAACAAATTGATAGTTACTTTTTCAGTTATCATTGATATCAATTTGATAGTTGATAACAATTTTATATTTACTTAATTAATATGTTATTTTCCAATTATTGAATTATAATTAATATCAATACCAACAGAATGCCATATAATGGAAAACATTTGATTATAATTAATATCAAATTATCGGCTGAGATAATTCCACTCAATTCCCCGTGTGAATATAACACACCGCCAAAACAAACCGTGCCATAGTGCGTGTCTTTTCAAGTTTTTTTTTTTTTTTTTTTAATATAAGGCCAAAAAGGATAAATTTATGTGCATAAGATTTCCCAACTTGCAAGACCAGATGTAACAGTTACATTATAACAAAGAGGCTGTTTTCCTCATCCAATCCATAATTTTACCTTGGTTCCATACTCAACTTTATTTATTTTTTTTACAAATATATTTTTTTGTGAGAATTTTCGGGTAAGATTTAATTCAAGATTTATTAATCATTTTTTTCGGAAGAAATAGTGTCCATATCATTATAAAAAAAAAGAAAGTACTCAAATTAAAGATTACAATATATAATTTATGTGAGTGTAATATATGTTGTGAGACAAATAAAATAAAAAAAGAGGTACATTTTTTTATGTGAATGTAACACGAGAGATAAATCTAAATCTCATGCAATATAAAAAAATATGATATATATGTCGTGAGACAAATAAAGTAGAATCCACTTATTTTTAAAATAAGAAAAAAAAAATAGGCATATCTCTTTATATAAATGTAATATAAGAGATAAATCTAATACAACATAAGACCCATACTTAATATCATAAAGTATCTGTAATGAATTAATCAGATATTATCTATCGAGCGACACATTCTCACTTTGACTTATATATAGGTTAATAATTGACTTGAGCCCCACGTCATAAAATTAAAGAAGTTATTGAAATTGTTACTAAATTCTTTTAATAAAAAATTAATCAACATGATTAAAAAAAAAACTGTCTTAACTGTCGTTTCAACCGAATGCCTATTATTCAAAAAAAAATTAAAATCGAAAATCAAGTAAAAATTGCAATTATAAAGGTTATATGATACACCTTAGTTGCAATACCTCTGTTCCGTAAATAAATTGTTGTGCATTGAATATGAAATTGTTACAATATAATTCTTAGTGGAAATTATTTCATGGATTTTACAAATTAAACTATTTCATGAAAGGTATTTAATTTGAACTTGATTAAAAAAACAAATATGAGACCAATCATATTTAGAAAAAAAAATTCAAGAATTTTGTGCACCAAAATTTGTCTTTTTTTACCCACAAGATTAGTGGGATACGGATCCACTAGATTAACTAGTGTATCTATTTAACAAGATCATATTATGTGAAAAATATGAAAAAATTTAATCATTTATTGTCAATAGACAACAATTAAAATGACAATGCTATCTTTTGTTATTTATGAGCTTTATCATTAAACGTGTTATCAATTGATTTGTGGAATGACTAAAATTTTTCATTATCATGTTAAGAAGGGACATGAAAGGATCCATTCCTACCGTATGGTGGTCATTGTCCATGGAAGTTCCAAAAAGTAAAAGAAAGCTACCCATCTTACTTATAAGTTCAAACAAACCAAAATATGGATGTTATTATTATTATTATTATTATTTACAAAACCCTTAACAATTTAATGTATACAAGAAATTAAAGTAGCAAGTTTAAACCCCGTAAAAACAAAACAATTAAAAGTATACAAGAAATTATAGTAGCATGTTTAAGCCCCTAAAAACAAAAAGCAAAGAGTACAAGACCCTTAAAAACTTAAGGAACAAGACCAATGGAAAATCATAAGTAGGATGGCGATAACCTCTCCAATAAAAATTCATGGTAAAATGTATTGGGAAGCATTTGGATCTCTTCTTCTTGGACTAAGACTCCATTAGCCTCTCTCATCTGCAACGAAAATAACTCTGGCCAAGTCATGGTGAGATCATCATCTTCTTGTTCCTTATATACGAACTCAGTTCTATTGGAAATCTCCACCTCCAGCTTCATCCTCTTGTCTCCACAATCAACTTGGTTTCTTGGTTCGTGATGAATGTCTTCCACTGAACTAACATTCCTATCGACCTAAAACAGAGAATGCAAGGAAACAAGTTTAAAGAGATGTGTGATCAACTTGTATAAATTATGATCAGAATCACTAAATTGTAAAAAAAATAAAAATAAAAATCCTGAAAAAGAATAACACACCATTCTTAACTTTCTTTATAATTCTAAAATTTTCTCTTTTAATATATATTTTTAAATTTTATCTAAATTAAATATATAACACCCCTTAAACTTTCAGATATTTTTTTATCTAAATATTTTAAATTTTATTAAAATTTTCGTTTAATTTAACAAATATAGCACAATACTTACATATACGGTGGAAGCTTCGAGTCCAAGAACAACTCTCTTCCTCGATTGGGTTACAGCGATGTCTTCTTGTGTAGTTCTTTTCACACCTTGTTTTTTGTGAAGATCATGTCTTAGATTCTTTCTAAATCTGCATAAAACATAATTGTCGGCCTACAAACAAAATAGATATGATATTCAATTAACGTTTGTAAAACCGAAAAAATATCAAGATTCTTAAAAGAGAACAAGAAAAATTTTAATACAAAAAGATACAAATAACAACAATGGAGTACGCAGAGCGCGCTTACTGATGGATTTTCTAACAAGGATGAATCAATTCTATATTCATGCAAGATCCAAGCACCATCATGGTTGGTGCCACTCTTTTCAAATCGTAAACGTCTCCTTGTTCCAATACATTGCATCGTGCCACTGGCCATAATATTTTTTCCACTGTCTTCAGCTTCCCATGAACCACATCCAATGGTGCGAACAAAGCGTGAGCCAGTGGAAAACTTTTTCTTTAAAGTGGTTAAGAAGTAAAGATCAGTTCCACCGTAAGAGTTGGAACTTCCAAAGGCTTCCCAAATCTCCCAAGGGTTCTTTTCACCAAATAAGTCATATTCAAGAATCGAAACATCAGTTGGCAATGGTTTCCCATTGACCTTATTGTAAAGAAACAATTGGATGAGTTCATCATCAGTGGGTTTGAACTCTTTCCTTGAACACGAAATAGGAGCCATCGAATCTTTGATAATTTGCATATAGAATTAGAAAGAATGTAAGAGAAACAGAGTAGATGAACAGAGGAAGAGAACCATAAGGAAGCTTTGTATATATAGTGGGTTTGATATAATTACGCGATCATAAATATTCTGAATCTTGTGGTTATTTTAGTTGACTAGTTTCCTTTTTTTGATTCGTCTCAAGGTATCCTTAGCCACAGCCGAAGACTAGTTTCTTTTTTTATTTATAATGATATCAATTTGGTAATTACATTTCAGTTACAGTTGATATCAATTTGATAGTTACCGTTGATATCATAGTTTCCGTTTTTTGATTTTAATGGACAATCAATTAATATTCTAGTTTCCAATTAGTTAATATTGTTGCAAGAGTTATTTGTTATATTTTTACCTAATTTTGTTAAAAGGTAATATTATTAAATAAGTTGAAGAAATAAATAATTAAATAAATAAGTTATGAATGATTGAATTATGATTAAAAAAATTAAAAATGATCAAAAAATTTATTTCTTTACAATTTCAAATAGATTTGATGTATATCTGAATATGAATATATAATAAATAAATAAGACAAGAAGAATAAAATTTGAATTTAAAAATTAGATATTAAGTAAATCTAAATGTGTTAAAATTTGATTTATTTTCTGGTCAATATTAAATATATTTATATGTATCTAAATATCAATATCAGTATATAATATATAAAATTAATTTTATTTTATAGTCAATCCAATTGATTTGATACTTTATATTCTAATATAGTGTAATTTATGTAGTGTGATTTATATATTGTGAGAATCTTTATTTGATTGTACAATCTTTTATTTCAATTATGAATATTAAAACAAATATATTTCATTCCCTCACAAAATATCCTAATTTTGTCATTGCTCTAAGCAGATACGTAGATAGACTATCAGCGCTCAAGTGGTTCTACATTTGTTTTCGTCGTCTACACCTGAGAAAACAATCCCTTGTAAAATATTTTGGAAATCAAGGACATATCTTCCTCGTATATTAAAAATCAAGGTTTTGCTTTTTTTTGTGTGATTACTGTAGATAAGTTATCTGCAGTAAGTCCAATATAACGTTGTTTTGGAACGGAAATCATGGTATTTTTGTAATTTTAATTTATTTCAGGATTATTATAGTCTTTATAATTATAATTTTCTAATTTTTCAATTTTAAAACGACGTCATTTTGAGAATAAATGCAGTAACTGCATAAATATTTTTCTGAAAAATCAATCAACATTTCGCAACTCCAATCAATTGGTCCCGATTTAATAGCCAAATAAGTATGACAATTTGAATCAAATTCTCTGACCAATCAATTGCTTATATCCATTATTATATTTTGTTGAAATTCCTTCTTTAGCAAAATTCCAGCATACCCAAAGATAAGGCCTGATAGTATAAGACCTGATAGTATAAGGCCTGATTGATACATAGTATAGGATAAGCCTGATAGTATAAGACCTCATTGAATTTTAATACTATCCAGCGTTTGGCACGGTATTGTATAAAATAATATATTGTATAAGATAATATCATCTAGTATTTGGTAATGCACTGTATAATACTATATATGATAAAAATAAATATTTTTAATAAAAATATCCTTTAATAAAGAATTTATATAATTATTTAAAAAAATGTCATATGATATTAATTTTTATAAAAATTTATTGATCAGTGTGTTCAAAATATAAATTAATTTTTATAAAAATAAAAATATTCAATATTTTAAAAATTAATATATTGAAAAATTAATTTTTATTTTAATAGATTAATGTTAAAGTAATATATTAATTTTTGAGAATTACATTGGTCAATGATATTAATACATCAATCTCTTATCAGGTTTTATCCCTCACCCCTAGGCCGGATTAAGTTATACATCGTTTTGAAGTATTAAGGGATTATGCTGTATAAGCTTATACTATACGATGGTCACACTAAATAACTGAAAATGTCATAACGTATAGTATAAACTTATATTATCATGCCTTATACGTCACACCAAACAGGCCATTAATCAACAAGAAATATGTTTATAATTGTTAAGGGTAGTTGGCATGGTGAATAATAGTAATTAATAATACCTACAATCCATAGAGTTGATAATAAATATTATGATTCTCGTATTTATTATAGCATATCTTTTAGTTGTAATCAATATTAATTTAATAATTAACTTTGATATCTTATTTTATTGCAGTTTCTTATTTTTTTTCGTTATAATTAATATCAATATCAGAATCATATAAAATAAAAAGCTTAATTATTTTTTTATCAATTAATCAAATTCATAATTTGTTATATGACTAATTTAAAAACTAATTGGTGGGATTTTTAAAAGTATAATGGACATAGATCTTTTTCATTAGAATTTGAAAATAACTTATAACTTTGAATTGTGTAAAAAATAAAATAAAATTGAAATACAAACTTTTTTTTTTTGGTAAAAAATTGAAATACAAACTTTATAATAAAATAACAACTTTTGCTAAAAGAGACAATTACAATCATATTCAATAAATAAAGGTTAAGCCTCTCATGTATACATATGAACTTCTAACTCTCTAACTTGTTATTGTGTACACATCACACGTTTTCTGCTATATATCAATATAATTATACACAGTGATTCGTTACCCTTACGATATCTTTTCTCTGGACTGAGGCGGGCGTACCAATCCACAACATAAATACCAACGGTTGAACATTCTCGATTCTTGGATCAAACATAAACAAAGTTCATTACGAATCTTAGGACAAATTTAGATCTATAAAATTGTCGCCTTCGATTTTCAATAAAAATAAATGAAAAGCAAATTAGCAAATTTATTGGATTCAATTTAGTCTCAGAGAAGTAACAATATGTAAAAAGGTACTGAGGTCCTGAAGGAAATCTTAGATTTATGCGGAAGCGATTTAGGACCTAGTATATTGGTATGCTTACCGAATCATCCTTGTTTCACAATTACCTCTCGGTGCGCAGGTGTCGTGTAGAATCTTCCCTTGTAGGATTCCTCTTCACGAACAGCTCACCTTAGCGCCGCAGCACGAACAACCTCCTTGAAGCTGGACTGTGGCAGATCTTCCAGACTATCTCTCGAGGAGGATGAGATGGTTGTGTGGGCAACCGTTCAGATGATGAACGACTGCCTCTTGGGGTTTGTTTCTGATGATCTATTCACCTTGGAGGCACAAGAGGAGAAAACTATGAATATATACGCTTAGGTCTTAGACATAACTCAACCCTAAGCCTCATGGGCTCAAGTTTCACTGAAGCCCAATAGGACTTTAGTGACCAAAAGAGCATATATCCAACAATCTCCCACTTGCTCTTTAAGATACAAACTTGAGTTCGTAAACCCAAGACCATGTAGCCCATAAGCTATCATCATCTGATAATATACCTCATCCCTTGTCTCGAGCTAGCCTGGGGACCTACCATTTGTCATTGATCAAGGCTCCTGATAATCTTTACAAGATTATCTAATTCGGTGCTACTCCACTAAAAGCCCGAACGTGAACTCCAAGATTAATGACCTTTATAACATTAATATGCATTGCCCCTTTATAGAATATCTATAATTCATTGATTAGTTTTCTGTAACCCAATCAATTATTTATTCTCTTGACTTTGATAATCTCTCTAATGGATTACATGCACTGGCCAGTGTCTTTAATATCCAAGTACCGAAATATATCAAGGGGACATTTCCTATAAATTCCTTGTTGTTTATCTCATAAATACTGATAATCAAATAATCTCACTCCCAAAACACCGAGTTATTGGCCGTCAAAAGATCGGACCTCACCCGTTGGTAAATCAAAGAATGAAAACTATTTGATTACCTATTTATAATAAACTCAGGATTAAGAGCAATCACATAACTATAGTTAACTGGAGATTTGATACCTTATGACAGAAAAACAACCTTAATCAAATCTCTCCTTGATCCTTTCAATGTGAATGTTAATTCACACCAATATTTTACAATGATTCGGACAAAATCACTTCATAAAATATTGCAGCCTGAATGAAGTGCCCAACTTTATTTAATGGCTGTGACTTCATTCATCAATTGTGAGATCCTATGATCATGTCCTCCATGAACGTATCCATATGATCATATACTCCACAATTTGATCCGGACCTTTATGTTTGTAAATAGTGCGCAAAATAAATAAATAAAACCTTATTTATGAAATTCAGAAAATTATTTTATTGTTTCATCGTCTTACTCCAAGAGCACAATGAAACCAATAACTCCCACTTGCTTAATGCAAGTCTGGGATCCTCCTAAGACCCAAAGAAGTAACATGCCTCTCGAACAGAAGTTCAGGCAAACTCTTAGTAACTGGGTCTGCAAGATCCACCTCTAATGTTATCTGAGTTTAGTGAAAAACTCATAGCTCGAGGTTGATTTTCTTGAGTCAATATCCACTTGAAATAACTGAATTTTTGAAAACTCAGCTTTTCAAGACTCCCAACCAGCATATAATCTCTCGTTCTCCAAAGATACTTGAGTACATGCTTAACAATAATCTAGTATTCCTCTAGGTTCAAAATGGTACTATCTCACTACTCCCACTGCGTGACAGATGTCTGGTTTAACGCCCAACATGATATGCGTGAGTCTACCTTTGCCAAAGCATAAGATATCTTGCTCATGCATTCTTCCTTCTTAGAAGTCTTTGGTCACTCCTTAGGAAGATGAATTTCACATCTGAGAATTATAATTCTTCTCTTAGAATTCTCATGTTGAATTTTGGGTTTTGTCAATGTAAGTAGCCTGAGGTGATGCTGACAACTTATTCTTCCGATCTCATAAGAGTTTTATACCAAGAATATAATTGGCTTCCCCAGTACTTCCATACCAAAACACTAACTTAGCCAACTCTTTATGCTTGATATTACCTCCACATTGTTTCTAATAAGGAGCATATCATCTACATAAAGTACCAGAAAAGCTACTGTCTTCC